ATTCAGTATGTCATAGGAATGGAATCCATTCCTGTGATATTCAGCTGCTTTATAAGAGAAATTATTCTTTCCTGCAATCCTTTGTCTTTTTTTACTGTGTACCTTCCCATCTCCTCATCAGTAAGATTTCTTCCGTAAACATATTTTTACAGGCACCAGCCTTCTCTACTATGCAGTCCTGCTTCATCTATTGAGCTTGTTCATTTCATGTATGGAATGAAGCTACCATGTTCTATGGAAGAAATCTTGTAAATGTGTCAGTAGAGACATGCACAGGAGGCTGAATTATGCTCAAGTTAGGTGCAGCCTTTTCTGAACTTATAAGTTAGTGGTGTCTCAAATTAATTTTCTAATTGTAAATCTAAAAATGTGTGTGCATAAAAGGAAAAGGATTTTTTTTTTCAAAAAAGGATATACATTTCAGTGGGAAGGACCCTAGAGAAGGGCAAATCTTTTGTAAATAATTAAACAAAAACATAGTTCTGGCATGTTTGCAAAGTTTAATTTGAAGTTAGGTTTGAACCACCTCAAAATTAAACACAACTTGGAATAGGGGATGTGGGGGTAATGAGGGGGGGCAGATTGAGTACAACCTGAAACCAAAATCAAAATTGGCTTCAGGCTTAATTTAAGTAACATTGGTTTCCTGCATGAATCAAAATATTAAAAAAATGTAATTTTTTCAGCATTTGATGACCTGTTGTGTAGATAATATGTTGATGGATGCATGCCTTAGCATAGTAGTGTCTTACAAACGTTCAGTACTGTTCTCTGATTGTGTGCCTGAAATGATTGTCTCCTAATTTGGGATGTCCCTTGTAGAAACCAATGTGTTTAAAATGTCTACTAGAGATTAATTCTACATCTTGAAAGTGTTTTATTTTGCAAAATATTTCAGGGAGAAAAATGCAGGAGATAATAAGGATAAGTACAGAGGGCCTACTGAAGATATAGATTAGGCTAAATAGCTCAGATTAGGCTAAATAGCTCTAAGAACTCTAAATAAGCCTTCTTCCTATTGCTAAAGCAGTTTGAAGCTGCTGTGAAGGCTAGTAATCTCATAGAACCCAGTTTGATCAGTTGTTTTGGATTTTAGTTTGGCTTATTTTTCCTGAGAAGTCTTTGGGAGTTGGGCGAATGTTGAATTTAGGAGCCCAGACTGTATGCAAATTGATGCTTGGCTAAATAATCTAAAAGTATTTGTTCTGTACTTTCCCTCTCCCTGCCGCTTATCTGTGTACGTGTGCAGGAGCCAGAGATCTAGCTTTCATTCTTTAGCTTGTAATAATTATAACTTTTTAGGTTCCTCTAGTATATTTTGCACACTTCTTACCATTCTTGAAGTCCTGCTTCATCCAGTACAATTGTTCAGACCAAATGGCTACAATGATTGGTTTGTGGTCTCTTCTGGATACAGACTTTTAAATGAAAGATATGTTTCAGGCTCCTTACATTCAGCAGCTATCAGTGTGCACATTCAGCAACTATCAGTGCACACATTCAGCAGCTATCAGTATGAAATTCCACAGTACCTAGATACTTACAGTGTGAGTCTGCGGTGTCACTTCTCCTTTGCTGACTAGGTTTGCTCTATACTCATGAGGCTACGGCAACCCCACAGTGTGGTGGCTCTGGCCATGGTGCACCCGGGGTTCCTAAACTCTTGGGGAGCACCCCAGAGCAAACCCCTCTTCTATGGGCTGCACCATCCTGAGTCCCACGCTTGCCTGTGTGGCGCCTATCAGTGACAAATCTATCTTTGACTTGAATTCCACTCAGTGCTGCCAACTCAACATTTTAACTGTAGATTTGATTCCATGAGACTTCTCTTAACAGTCATGCTTCTTTTTAAGATCCTGTTTCTAGAGTCATGGAATTCTGGAGTTGTGGGATTTTTTTTTTTTAAAATAAATTTCTGAACTCATAGGGAGACTATAACAGACACAAATACTGCAATACATCAAAAAACAAAAGCTGCTGAAAAGCTCTCAGAAGTATTCTTTAAATCGTCTGATTCTGAGGAGGAACTTGCTAAAGATCTCAACCCATGGGATCAATTCCTCTGACTCCTGGGCCGCATATTAATCTTCTAATGAAGCTTGTTCTTTTCGGTATATCATTCCTTTAATATGTGGAAATATGTAGAAATAATACCACTTTCCCTTGTAAGGCTGGACTTACATGCTGGTGGATAGGGTCAATAGCTGTTAAGAGCTGCACAGTATTTTGAAGCAGATGATATTGTTATGTACTGGTATTAGAATAGAGTGTTGATTGAATGCATAATGTCTCTAGAATTTATGTCCCAAGGTCAGGATTGTTTAATTTGTGGATTTTTTTCTTCTTCTCCTAGAGGGACTGTTTATTGGAGGAAATGTGTTAAGTTTACTTAAGCAGCTGGTACAGAGTCATATTACTTGTAAATGAATGTTCCTAAATGCAAATACATACAGATATATAGCTTTTAGAAGACCTGATCTCTATTAAAAGTCATTTAGTGAGAAATATGACCTTAGTTATTGATACAATTAGCTGTCATAATTACTTACAGTCTTGTTTCAGACAAGAATTATCTAACAATGACAGTGAGGTTATTTGTTGAAGTGGATAATAGCAATATGCAGTAGAAGTGCAGTTGCTGAATGAGTTCTACATTAGCTTCTGTAGATACATAAATTGTCATTTTCATTTGACTTCTTTTCTCCAAAATGAATGAATTTGGTGTTTCTTGTCTACATTTTACAGCTCCTTAATTTTAACTTACTGTTTTACATAATTTGTAGTTCCTTAAGCATCATAATTATACCTAAATATTTCCATTTTCCACTCAATCTCCACTCTGCTCTTCCCCCTCCCTCAGAAAACAGTGATCTGTAAGCAACTTTTGTGAGTGGTTAGAAGGCAGGGTTCCTTTTCAGTTCTAGGTTAATTTCTAATGTAGCTGCTTGACAGGACATGTGGTGGTAGAGAATTTGGGTAGGGTACAGTCAGCTTAATTCAGGCTTATGGTATCATGGGAGTCCAAAACTGTATCTTCCCTTGACTATGGCAGACATGGATGCTTGGCACAGGAGATGTGGCTGTTCCATCCTTACCAGGGGTTGTTAGCCAACTTAAGTAAATGAACAGCAAATAGATAGGGTTGCTCTACTAAAACCTTTAGTTCCTACTAAAAAGTAATCTTTTCCCTGTTAATGTTCAATCTTTGTTAAAAGCAGCTCTTTGCCCTGTCCTCCATGTGCTTGCTCACCCTGGATTTCTCAGAAAAGATAAAGCTAAGTTTAATTTCCAGAAACTAACACTTTTCATATTTATGCTAATCTGTATCTCTTGGAATAAGTTTCCAGAGAGGGCAGTTGAAGCAAATCCTGTAAGTGACTTCAAGGTGGCATTAAGAAACCTTTTTAAAAGGATAGAAAGAATGATGATCTGTGTTGCACTGGGAGTTCCTGCAATTTCATTTCTCAGTGATTTTGCTTAAGCAGAGTAAAATTATATCATTTAAATATCAGGAAAGTATTAGACAAACTATATAGATTTTCATTCATGTAGTCCTGTCTCATAATCACTTAATTCTGGGGGAAGTTCTTGATGCTGAGGAGTTCCACTGAAGCCAGTATGCCTGATAACATGAGCAAGACCAGCCCTTTTACATTTTTGGACTAGTGATTCAGTACACCAGAAATTACAAAAGGAAAGTAGTGAAGTTTTATTAGTTAGACATCTCTTCACCTATGTGATTTTTTTGCCAGTCTTAACAATTCTTAAAGTATTAAATCAAATATTCATAGCCTTCTAGTGTTTGATTTGGTTCTGTTGTTGCTTTTTCCTTTTTAATGGAATCTTAATATTTATAATGGAGTCTACATAAGTTACTTTATTAATTTCCACATAAATTGTATTGAAGGGAAAAAAAAACAGTTCATAGCAAGCCACTGAAACCAGTTTTCAGCTGATAATTTTGCTGCAAAAAGCAGAAATGTCCAGAGAAACCAAATGATTTAGAGTAACTTAAGGCAAGAAGATTGATGTCTTTACAGTTTGCATTGACTGTTCTTCATCAGTGCAATCTGTTGTGTCATTTTTAAATAGCTAAAGATATTAATGCTGCTATTCATATGGTTTTGCAAATGTTTATCTCTGTTTGGAGACAGAGTCAAAAAGTCAAATTCCAAAAAGGTCTCATCCTGTAAGCCATTACTATGAGAATACCATTTGGTACTCAGCAAGGGTGAGGGATTTTTTTGTTTGTGTGTGTGTGAAGGAGAATATGTCATTCTGAAGAACAGTTAAAACCAATGAATAGAATCATGATACAGGATTGTAATTCCCTATTAATTGATGTAAACTTTTTATTTAAATAATTCTGTTGTAAATATCTGGTTTTCCACTAATCTGTAGGTTCAGAATAATTTTCAGTTTATAATAATGAAATCCTTTTGGTTCAATCCCTATTAAAATCTGTAGGGCTTTTATAGGAAAGGGAAGTCTGATGAGGAGAAATCCAATAGGAGCAGAAAGGTGTATTTTAAATCTACCACTTGAGACTTCCTTGATTAAAAACAAAACAAAACAAAAAAAACCCCAAAACACTGTTATGGGGTTTTCTGTTTAGCTTGCTCTACTCAGATCTTTCCTTCTTAGAATCTGCTAAATTATGATTTATTAGGGAAAAAGTTTCAACTACAGTCTGACAAGGCCACAATACAGCCTTAGGTCCATTTTATGACACTCAATTAGGCCCACATGCTGTATAGCTCTTCAAACAAGGCATTGATAGGTTCTTGTTATAGCATATTTTAATAAAGCTCTGTATATGATGTGTGGTAGTATGTGTATGTTGCATGCTTACTAATTTGTATAATGCTTGACTCTGACACCTGGAATAATGATTTGAGTGTTGTTCAGTTTATTGATAGCTTGTTTTCTTGTCAAAATGCATGAAACTAACTTTCTTTAGTATTGAGCAAAAGTATTCATTACAGTGTTTTTGTTTCAAGTCTGAACATCCCAGTCCTGCCAGTTCCAGCTCCAGTTCCAGTCTTACACCATCTCAGAACAGCAGACAACAAGGTACCAAAAAGGAAAATAAATTGAGGAGCGTGTGAAATGAAGGGGCCAACAAATAACATGATTGGCATCTCGTTACCACTGTTCCGCTTTATGCATATTTCCTAAGGTGTCTGCAGATTTGATTGTAAGGTGGAAAAAATGAAAGAGGGAAAAATGTGCATATGAGAAAAGGGCATGAAGGCTGTTTGTTTTAGTTTTGAAGCACCAAATAGGTTCCAGTCACTTAAAAGATGCTGGACCTCAAAGAGCTTCAGTTTTTAAGGTTCTTGTTTTGCAGAATGTTAAGCGTGGCACTCTACTGCTGCATGAAATCCCATTCAAGGTAATATGACTCCCTGTGGGAAGTAGAATGATGTGTGTATACGGGTTCCTTTGAAGGATGATCTTAAAGGTTCAATAACCTGGGTTCAGTTTTAGTGATTTCAAAGAGTTGGAAGAAACTTAGCAACTCAAATTTTGAGGTTCATGTTATTGGGAATTTTTGAAAGCATACTGTATTTACTTTTAGAAATATGACAGAGAAGGGAGATCGACTAAGTTTACATTTTATTTTTTTGGCTAATAACCATGGCTTACTCAGGACCTAGTAAAGAAATACCATTTTTTTTCCCCAGAGAGCCTGCCAAAGCAGTTTGTGTGTAAATCAATTGAGAGTCATTCTATATGAGCTGTTAAACAATTTAATTCCTGTTCAGCTTTTCCTTGACTTTGAAAGATTGTACAACTGAAACATTCAAGCTTTTTCTTTTAAAAGTTAATAAAAGAACAATAATAAAGATAATGAAAGAAAGCATAAAAAAGAGCAGTTTTTGACTAATTAAAACGGCATTTGTTTTGTTTTATCCATTTACATTTCCCAAAGATGATCTTGCTTTTAATTTTATGAAAATAGATTAGTACCTCAGGGAGATGACTTGATTTAGAAAAAAAAATCTAAACATAGTGTATGTCTGTCAGACTGCCTTTCTGAAGATGTCTGGTACTGATTTGCCTCTGTTTTCTGACAGTGTTATTCCAGGGTGTTATACCTCTCTTTTTAGATTAAGAAAGCAAAAACAGAGGTGGACTGCTGTTGATGACTGGCTTCAGGCATTTGACTTATAAGTAAAGCTATGCAAAAGACATTCGCACTGAAACCCCATTCTTATTTATGAAAAAATCAGTTGTGATGTGAGCTGCCCATTACTGATCCAAGAGACTTGGACTCCCCACTCTTATCTGTGACCTTTCTGTGGCAGAAAACCCAGTGAATTAACATTTTCTTTGAGCAGACTGGATCCATTCATCCCCCCTGGGGGATAAGACATGTCACAGATTGATAAGACCTGTCACAGATTGTCTTTCAGTTCTGAACCTTCTCAACAATAGGTGGGAGACTCTTCTCCTGTCACAAATATCTGTAAAGTATAAATGGTATATAGTCATCCCCTTTCTTACGGCAATAAGTAGTAGTTACTGCTTCTCTGTTCTGGGAGTTCCCAGTTAATTAAATGCATTTTCCAGTTTGTGCATTTATATATTGTGTGGGATGGAGCACAAGGCATACTGTGGTACATTCACATGGTATATTATGCTCAGGTCAAAACCTGTGTTTTATGCCCTAACTTTTACTTAAACTAAAAGTTACTTCTTAGGGCCTTGACTCACTTGCCTTTGTATTCAAAACCCAGTGCTCCCTCAGGGTCAGGAACATCACAGCAAAAACTTTTGTTTACCCCTTTATGAAGTAGCATTGGGCTAACCTAAGGCTTGTCTAGTCTTTTTGCCCTCAGGGTTTACTCTATTTTCTCCACTTCCTTGCTAAGAACATTTAGTGTTGGGCAACACCTAATTTTCAATCTCTGTACCCCTCTGACCCTTCATGAGATAACATAACTTCTCAAACTCTTAAAACTACACAGTAACTTGTTCAAATTAAATGTTATCAGGGAGCTTAAGATTCACAGTAACAGTAACATGGCTACCAGTAGCAGAGATAAAGACAGTAAAAATTAATGTTTTACTGAGTGTAAAGCACAGAGAATGCTTGACATGAAAATGTTTTACTTCAGCTACATTTCAGAGATCCAATCCTGCAAAGGCTTAGGTGTTTTGTTGCTTCTGTTGTTCAGGTCCCTTGCAGTCTATAATGAAAGATCTGCATTCAGATGATAATCAAGATGAATCAGATGAAGCAGATAAGAATGACAATGACTCTGAGTTGGAAAGACCAGTAAATACACATGAAGGAAGCAAAAGTCACAGGTGAGTGTCTTATGATTGTGAATAGCCTGATGGACAAGGTGCTGTGCTTGGCAGTAATAAGGTGAGATTTAATTTTTTCAAATTAAGATGAGTAGTAAACAGCTAGGCAACTCAAAATCTGTTTCTACAGTATGTATATTCAGTACAGAATAAACCCTTTGGTTTTAGCATGACTTTTCAGTCAAGCACTGGTCCAAGCAACAACTACAGGGTTTAGGAAGATTCTGGTAGAGTAGAAAAGCAGTTTCAGTGTCCTACCTCAAAGTGTGAGCTAGACCTACCCATGTATGCAGTCCTTTGTCTAGCGGTCTAATCTCTTGACTCTGTTTTTCCTTAGGGTTAGTGTAAGTGATGGCAGTGACAGTGACAGCAGTTCAGCTTCGTCACTACTACATTGTGAACCACCACCACCTTTATTAAAAACCAGCAACAACCAGGTAAAGTCAGGATTTATTAATACATGCATGGCATAGGAACGCTTGCTGCTGGGGAGCTGATGTAACCCTCTGAATTCTTTAATGCAATTACTTATTTTGTAAACTGAAGTTAGCGTGCTGTCGTGTCCCCCCCCACACTGTAAAGTACTGTAAAGCAAATGTTTTCACTAGTATTCTAAGGAACATGTCCCTTCTGTGTGTATTAGCTTTGTAAGGTAAACATTATAATCCCACTTTACAGCATCAGTCATACAGTCAGTGCTATTTTTGGTATGTATCTGTAGTAGATGTGATTCAGATTAAAAGGCTCATTCTCAGTCGTTTATTCACCTCTTCCTCCCCCCCCCCCCCCCCCCACATTTATAACTCAAGGTAGAGTGCTTGTTACAATAATATCTAATTGCTGTATTATTTTTGAGATAGAAAGTAGAATTGTTCTGTTTAACAGAGAAATGAAATAACCTTCAGCCACAAAAGTTAGGGACAATTGAGGATTAGAGTGTGGGCATTACATCACCCCCAGTCACCTAAGCAAGAAACCTCTCTAAATACAGTGGTGTTATTTTCCTAAAAATTTAACATGAAAATACTGTTGTCCTTAAAATAATTAATGTTCATAATGTATACAGAGACATCATTTATTTTAGGGAGTCATAAATGACTTCAGGGAAAATTGGATCACAGACTAAACTGTCATGTAGTTTAGTTTGAGAATAAATGGCTGTTTAGAGTAGTGATTTAGTTAAAATAGCTTCTAGGTGTATTTACAAAAAATTATTGCTTAGATTATGAGTTGAGCCTTACAAATGAGCCCTTCCTATACCTATAGGATAATTACTTCAGTTCTCTGCTTGAAATAATTTACTTTTCATTGTTTTTTTCCAATAATGTACAAGTTTACTGATAATACAAGATAAAAACATCAATAATGTCAATTAATTTCAAATACTTGGTGGGGGGGGACTCTGCACATAAGAGTCTTTATAGAAGCAAGAAGGAGATTCCATGTCCAAAAAAGGTTAATCGGATCCATCAGAAATTTTGTAGGTTTTTCTGAGTTGATCTATACATAAGTTTCAAGTTTTGCAGAGAGATTCTTTTTAGAAAAAAAAACACACAAACTGTAAGGATATAGACAAATGACATTTACTCTTTGGAGATGTGAGGACCATTTACCCTTTTGAGACGTGAGCACAAGCAAAATGAAGCATCAATCTATGGCTTGTTTAATGAAGACATTTACTTCTGCAGACTCAGTGTAATTGCAAGTGTAAGTCTCAATAAACAGCAGCCCACATTTCTCATGTTGCCCTTTTCCACTTCAGTGACCTAACCAAAACTGTGCCTGCACATTTAGACTCTCCAAACAATAGCAATGAGCCAGCTAGATGTGAATGCCTTACATTTTTATAATTGAGGTGAAAATTGGAGATTTGGAGAAGCTTAAATTGTTTTGGTCACAGCCACATTTAAAATCTGTGCTTGCTAGTAGGGTGCTGGCTAGGATGAAGTTTTTGACTGACAAAATCAGACTAGTGGTAGACTAACTCTGTATTTGCCCTTTAGTTCTGTGAATGGACTTAATGTCAATATTTCCGTAAGCTTCCTCTGATTTGGATAGTACCATATCTTCTCTAAACAAGAGTGAGGTGCTAGTTTTCAGTCACACATCAAGAATGTAAGCAAGCAGCTCTTTCAAGTATACTGTGTCCTGGCTAAGGCCCTGTTTGAAAATAATTTTAAATATTAGAGAGAGACATGGCGCTACTGGAGAGAGTCCAGCGGAGGGCTACAAAGATGATCAGGGGACTGGAGCATCTCTCCTATGAAGAAAGGCTGAGGGAGCTGGGCCTGTTCAGCCTGGAGAAGAGAAGATTGAGAGGTGATCTGATCAACGTGTACAAGTATCTGTGAACCACAGGAAGTTCCACCTAAACCTGAGAAAAAACTTCTTTGCTGTGAGGGTGACAGAGCACTGGAACAGGTTGCCCAGAGAGGTGGTGGAGTCTCCTTCCCTGGGGAGATTCAAAACCCGCCTGGACGCCATCCTGGGCAATATGCTCTAGGTGACCCTGTTTGAGCAGGCAGGTTGGACTAGATGATCTCCAGAGGTCCCTTCCAACCTCAACGATTCTGTGATTCTGTGATTAGGACAGCTATGTCTTAAATTATCACTCGCATTAAGAGGGTTTTTTTCCCTTCCTTCAAAAACAGGAAAAGCAGTAAAAAGGTACTGAACCCTTGCCTAGAAATGCTTATTTTGTCAAGACAAGATTTTTATCTTCCTCTGCCCCATACTGCAAGAGTCCCAGGGGTGTTAAACCTAAGAATTAGGGGCAGGGCATGGGGTGGAGAAGCATCATGTTTTGCATTCTGGCCATGCATTACTCTTAGCTAAGTAAATGCTTAGGCAAGGTTAGTTCACATCTGCAATCACTTTCTCAGTGCAGGGAAGTAGACACCTGTCTGCGTCTCATGTGTTTTTAGCATGCTAGTCACTCTAGGGAGTGTAATGGTGCTTTCAGTCATTTATATGAGGGGGACTAGAAATTGGGGGAAACTTACAGCAAGCTGTCAGTGGGGCTTTGTGGAAGCCTAGCAGTCTTGTTTTTAACAAGCCTTAATTTCCTTTGACTTCCTTTCTGAGGTTAGTATTCTGTTGTGACTATCCAGGGTAATTTTGGAGGAAATTATGCTATTAATGCCAGTCTTATTTAAATAATATGTAAAACAGAAATCTCTAGCATTTATGACTGTTTATCTTCTCTTGATCTTTTTCAAAAGAACTGGCTGTATTCCAGGTTAGGAATGACTTTGTTTTTTAATCCTACCTCTAGCTTCAAGTGATGTGAGTGTGTATGAGGGGAACCCAAAAGAACAAACAACTCTCCCTTTCCCCTAAACATTCCTTACTAGAGTCCTGAAATTTTCCTATTCAGCATGGTGTTCTGCTGATTGTTTGACATACTCTTTCTCTAGGGATATCTGTGCTTCAGTATTGGATGAAGCATTTCTGGTGTCTAATTTGTACATGTTGTAGTAAATGGCTTGGTATTGCACTGAATGAAAGGTACCATATAAGTGCAAGGCATGTTATTATTTTTGGTTGAGCACCTTTTGCACACTGTTATAAGTAAGTCATGTCATTTGAAAGACTAAACTTAAAATCTCTATCCTTAAAAGGACAGCGCTAAAAAGAACAGGAAAAACAAACTGATCATGTGGCACATCAAAGGGACTGGACTGTGTGGGCTATGCCTCAGCATTGCTTCATATCTTCAAAATTAGACCTCTAATCCTACCAGCATCCAAAGGAAGGACACAAGAAAAAGTGTCAAGGAAGTTTTACAATGATGTAAACTGAATTCCTTTAAGGATTGATAATAGCAGTATTACCTTATTCCAGCAATTTGGTGTTTTCTGTTGTAAGTTGTGTTTTCTGAAAAAATGTGAGTAGGTTCTATAGATGAAAGAATGTGCAAACTCAGTTGTGAGGCTCGAGTGTGGTTTTCTCCAGATGTTATCGTTGAGTTTTTAAGTGACAGCAGGATTTTTCTAATATAATTGTTCATATAGTTCAATGGCACATTTAATGTTTACAGGATTTTCTTTCTTTTCCAGATTCTAGAAGTGAAAAGTCCAATAAAGCAAAATAAATCTGATAAACAAATAAAGAATGGCGATTGTGATAAGGTAAATGTGAATGTGAGAGCAATAAGCTAGTTTAGAAAGTGGTATTGAGTTAATGTATTTTTTACACCCCTAGCTGAAATAGTAGTATTTTTTGTTACAGAAAGAAAACTCAATACATCAGTACATCTTAGCTTCAAGTTTCTTTAAGTACAGAATGCTTTTTAATTTTTCTAACCCCACCTAGTTTGAAAGCACTTTCCCCTCAATACTTTGTGCAAATAACACCAAATGGGTGTCTGCCACGTATTATTTATTTTATTTGTGCTCCACCATAAATTTACATAGTGCTATACAGAACAGATAAGTGCTGATTCTTGTGTAGGAGACTTCACAGTTGAACTGCCAGGCAATCAGTCCATAAAAGAATATTTTCCAGATTTTTTACAAAGGGCTATGCACTAGGAAATGGCAGTGTGATTTAACACACATTAGCTAGAATGATGTTAAAGCAAGAGTTAGCATTTACCACAGAGAAAGGCGATTTTATTTAAAATAGTGTCAGTTGGCCATGGATAAGAATTCTAACATATTGTATGAGTGAACATACTGTAGTTTCCCAGTGTGGACAAGTTCTTCTGAAGGTTTAAATTTTACAAGTTGCAGTAACTTCTTTGTGATACCATGACCCAGGAGACCAAAGTAGCAATATTCACTGCTCCATTGCTAGATTTTCAGTGGCCTAATCCATAGCACTTTTTGGTTCCTTAAGATGAGTGTCATGCTTTTTCTTTAAAAAAAAAAAAAGACATTTTTGATGTCTGAGGCTGATAGAGGAAGTTAGTGATTGGATCGAGAGGGGGCACACGTCTCTAGGATAGTTTGATATCCTAGGAATGGTAAAAGTGGACATTACCATTGGAACAATGTTTCTTGATCTCTCTCTCCCTGTAACCCCTTCTTGATGTAGAAACAGGTTCAAAAACCCTGTTTATTTGGGAATGGGAGGATGTTGTTCAAAAGTGCTTGTTTGCCAGTCTCTAGTTTGTAATAGACACATTTCAATATAGTTAGTGTAGAGGGATTTGCTTCTACAGCAAAGGAGTGTTTAATTTCCGGAGGGAGGAAGTGGCTATATTCTGTACTCTTGAAATTCTTTAAAGTATATTTCTATACATCTTACAAATATGCTATGATTTACCTTAAAAAGTTCCTGCCAATTATTCCTCTTCCTCTGTAAGACTTGGTGTATCCTCATTGGTTAATTATGTGTTCTTATTATACTAGAAGATGAGCACAGCTATCTGAAAGTCTTTTGAATCCCTGACAGAATAACTTGCTTACAGTAGCTTAGTACTTTAGCAATACCCTAAGAGTTTCAGTGTTGCTAAGTGTTTTTTAAAAAGAAGCAAATAAAAAAAACAGAGAACTTATAGGAAATTATAGTTGATTTGAATTAAACTGAAGAAAAGCAAGCTATTAAGAATATTTAGCTCAAGTGAGACTTGAAATGAGATTTCGGTTTGTGTTGTTTTTGAAGAAAGTCTGGGGATTTTTAAATATACGGCTATGACTTAATTAACAAGTTGTTTATGGCGGGGGGGGGATTTGTTTCTAGGCATATCTCGATGAACTAGTAGAGCTCCACAGAAGATTAATGACATTGAGAGAGAGACATGTACTGCAGCAGGTGAGGAGCACTTTTGTGCAATATCATAGCATGCTCATTGAAGTCGGGAAGTTGCATTTAATTTACCTCCATTAACCTAAAACTTTATAATCAGACTTAGCCCTCAAGCTTGTGGGATGCATAATATACTGCCTATTAAGACTTTTAGTGCAGCTTAAGGAATTTTTATGCATACTTTGAATTCTGTTACCAAACTAATTGATGAATGTATTTAAAAAAAAAGTCATTTGAACTGATTTTTTCACCAGTTGATTGATATGTTTCTCAACATATTGAATCAGTAATAATGGAAAACATCCCACAGATGTGCCCTTTGATTTGGTAAGAACTTTGAGTCTGTTTTCCTAAATGTGACAAGTGCTTTGTCAAAAGCAGTTTCATATGGTTTCTAAGAGGAACATGGAATTTAAAACAAAGGTCACTGTAGGGAATATTCCAATATATTAATTGAGTCTTCTGAAAGCATAGTGACAGTTGATTACTTCATATTAAATATGGAAATGTTAAAACCAGGAAGGTTTCAAATTCATTGATAACTTATACAATATAAGCATTTTTATTGGGTGACCTTAACATTGTCAGGTACTATAGGATTACAAAAGATGAAACACGCATTATTAGCAAATCAGATTTAACTGTAGCACAGATGGCTTTATTGTGTTTAAACCAATAATGTGTCATTCATAGACACTTTGTAAAGAGAAATTTTTACTGCTTCCAACTGATTGCAATCACTCAATAAATTTCTCAACATTTGGATAAGTGTGTGGAAAAATACTTTGCAAACCTTTAGCATTACTCTGAGTGTTCATAAATTCAGACAATATTGTGAGTAAAGAGCAGAAAACAGTTGAGATCATTGAAAAGGAAGATCTCAGTTAAGAATATTCTTAATTAAAGAGGAACCCTGATGATTTTATCAGTTTTCTTCTGTTATGATATACTCTTGTGCATATTGATAATCATATTTACTTCATATTTAATGTACTATTGTTTCCAGAGTTCATTCACTCTTCAGTATAAATTAATTATTTTCTCACCAAAACACACTTTCAGAATGGTGAAAGAGACAAAGTTTTATCTCCATGGGAAAATTAGTGTGCAGGAGGCTAGAAGATATGAATTAGAATACCCTGTCCACCTTAAACTAACTCATGGAGAGTCCACATGAAGAATGATACAGAAGAGGCCACTGTGAATTCATGCCCTAGCTTTGCCTCCTGGGCACTTACTTCCCCATATAGCCAAGACTTAGCTTTTGAAGGGTTCAACTTGATCCAGCAGAGCATAGGCTCTATACGGCTTGAAGTGTGATTTTTAAAGAAAAAAATATTCAAATTTGTTTCTGCAAAGAGGGAATAAAACAAGAATTTTTTCAGGAAAATAGGATGATTCAAGTGAAAATCATAATCCTCTTATTTCTCTTCTAGTAGTATATTTTGGGAGGAGGAAATACTACCATTGGTAGAAGGATGACAGATTTGGCCATTAAAGCTTCTCCAGTCTGATGTTACCATATGATTAAAATTTGCCTCACAGGAAATTACTGATCTAAGAGAAGCTGTGTGAAGAGAGACAGAACTGAACTGGAAACTTGAAGCATCCTATTCTTAGTAAAGAAAAGGAAGCAATAGTATATTCACATTAATTTTAAACTGAAGGCAGACTTTTTTTTTTGGATCCCAAGTGTACTTCTCAGACAATAGAAAGCACTTGTTCATTGGCCTTTGCCGCATAATTCATGTGAAGAGTATAATTGTGATACTATAATGCATGTCTTCTCATAGCATAGGGTTTAATTAGTTATGTTTATAAAAGTTACTTCTACTAAGTATCAGTGCTGTTTTGCTTCCTGGGAGATTGTTGTTTTTACAAATTCTTTCCCTGAACTTGGAGTGTGCATAGGCAGTTAACACAGCCTCAACGAAAGCTGAATTTATGACAGAGCTTTGCAGGCCAGGACAGAGGTGTAGTACTTCACTGATATAGTTGGTAGCTATATAATATTGTCTACAAAGAACTATTGGAATTGAATTAATTTTAAAGAAGGGCCACGTTACTTACCATTTTTCTGTTAACCAGCTCACACTAAAACATGACTTATAGTGTTGTGGAACATGTAATGCTGTAGTAACAGAACTTGAGTTTTAAAGTCTTTAATTTCTTAATATTATGCAGTTCATTAAGCCATTTGTTTTTGTCAGTTGACAGAAATGTATTCATAATATTGAACGGCTGACTTTCAGAGACTCAGTGCTTCTGTGCATTACAAATAATCTTGGCATTCCATTTTACATATCCTTACTGCTTTGCAGCTATGTAACTGATGTAACATACTCACAATGAACACTGGAATAAAAAGAAACAGTACAAACCTGAGACCATATTCAGAAATGAATGTGAAATTCTTAGGTAAAGAGTTACAAGTGTGTAGCGACAACAGGAACTACAAAGCAGAAGAAATCAGTAGGGATGAAACTGTGGGAAGGGCTGGTGGTTGCTACATGAGAAGAGGGAGTGAAGGCAGAAACATGTGATGGTTGAAAAAAAACCTTAAAGAGTTTTAGATGATAGCAGTATCAAACTGGAATGACACTACAGGTGGTGTATTCCTGAGTGATGTTTGGTACCTGCACTCACAAACTGAAGAGTTTGCAATCTCCTGCATGTGTCAGTCTGCAACACAGGGACTTCAATGAATTTTTAGAGAAGGGAATTGGGGGGAAAAAAAATTAAGGCATCAATCGGTTGTAAGCAAGGATAATGTCAAAACAGTGGCTCTTGAAGTAGTACTTGAGCTGCTGAGGGATGTGAAAAGGAGAGGACAGCTTTTGCAGTCTCAGTTGTTACCAAGTCTATAGACAGTGACAGGTATTCAGCTGAGATGGAAATGAGAAAAATGTAGCTGATGACATGGTTCTTTCCCAGGGGAGGCATTTCTCTGAGACATTTTGTTAAAGGAAGCTGAGATAAATCCACAAGAAGAGGTAGCAGGCAGGAATGATGTAATATTGAATTGCAGGTGTCAGGATACATAGCTAAGTAAATTTGATGTAAAAGTGATATGTATGAATTGGCCAAGAGGGAGAAAGCAGATGAAAATGAGCATCTGACCAAGAAATGAGTCCTGGGAGCATAGGCTGTGCAGCTTTGATGTGGAGATGGGAATACTACCAGACAAAAAATGGTCTAAAATTACATTTAAATAAAATAAAATTTTTAAAAAGTGCAAACCACCCCCCCCTCCAAACATACACGCTGCTTTCACTATAAATAAGTGATTCAGGATTGGATTTTACAATGCTGAGGCAACTTTTTTTTTCCTGTTTTAAAGAGAAATAGCAGTTTAATAGTATCATTTAACTCAAGTGTTAGTGCTCTGTGACCAGTATATTCAAATTTGACTGACTAAAACTGGGCTCTTAAATCTATATTTCAATGCAGAAATAACTGCATATTTCAATGCAGTTAATGTGACCCTAGGAAAAGCAGTGGGAATTCTGGTTCTCTTGTTTTGAGGCATACAGAAGTCATACCTTCAGCTGGTGAAAAATCTCATTAAAGCCAAAGCACTAGGCAGCACGGATATGAGAGAGAAATCATGAATGCATAGCACTGCTAAGAATCATGCTACTCTTATCCACAAGGTGCTTAACATTAGGCAGCAACTGTCTTCTGAAAACTTTCTGCAAGGGGCAGCATGCAAGTTGGTAAACTATCAAATGGCTTAAAAGCCTCCATAAATTGAAAAATGACTTTGTCATTAGTTGCATTTCTGCTCCCTCACATGCACACTCATTTTCTTGTTTAAAGGCAGATAAATAGCTGTTGTACAATGGATAGTGGTGAAACTGAGCTGGAATGACATTATGTGAACAAAGTTATACATTCAGGCAGAAATGCAAAGATTACTCCACCAAGAAAAAAGGGGATGTTTTTGGACTTTGCAGTCTGAGCTCTCAAAATAAAACTTTGTAATGTTGTGTTTTTAATATTATAACTGTCAGACTTCCTGGCAACTAATTTAAACCTTTATTCTTTTCCAAGTATTTCTGAATAGCATAAGGATGTGTGGACTAATAGAACTCATGAATTCTACATTGGTTGGCAGTCAGTCATAAGTTTTTTATTGAGCTGTCTGGGATTATCTAGATACATTTTTGTATAGCTGCTAAAACTTCTGGGGATCATTTCACTATGAATTACCAGGTGCCCTAACATGATGGCTGTATTTCTTGAGGGCAGGTTGAGGGATATATTTAAAATCACAGAATCACAGAATGGTTGAGGTTGGAAAGCACCTCTAGAGATCATCTAGTCCAACCTCCCTGCTCAAGCAGGGTCACCTAGAGCACCTTTCCCAGGACCATGTCCAGATGACTTTCGAATATCTCCAAAGATGGAGGCTCCACAACCTCTCTGGGCAACCTGTTCCAGGGCTCAGTCACCCTCACAGAAAAGAAGATTTTTCCTCATGTTCAGATGGAACTGCCTGTGTTTCAATTTGTGCCAATTGCCTCTTGTCCTGTTGCTGGGCACCACGGAGAAGAGTCTGGCCCCATCCTCTCGACACCCCCCCCCCTTCAGATACTTATACACGTTGATGAGATTGCCTCTCAGTCTTCTCTTCTCCAGACTGAACGGGCCCAGCTCTCGCAAC